GGCAGGTTACTCTTCACGGATGATCGTGAAGTTTACTTCCGAAAACCATTATAAGGTGTTGGCTGGTAGGGTTAAGACCGAGATAAGAAAAGCGAAAAGGAATAATGAGCTGAGGATAGCAAGGGAGGCGAAGTCAAACCCCAAGGGATTCTATCAAATGTATCAATCTAAAACACAAGGAAAGATTGGACCAATACGGTCAGACTCCGGCGAGCTCACTGATAACGACGGAGAAATGAGCAATAATCTGAATAAATATTTTTCAACAGTTTTCACCACCGAAAATTTAAACATGACACCCGAGGCACCGACTCTATACAGAGATAGTGATGAAAACAAATTAAGCGAGATAGTAGTGATTTGTAACGATGTTAGTAAGCAAATAGACAAACTAAAGCCTAATAAGTCACCTGGTCCTAATGATATATTTGCCAGAGTATTAAAGGAATGTAAGGAAGAGATTAGTATGCCCTTAGCAAAGTTGTTTAATATGTCCTTAAAAACAGGTGTAGTACCAGAATCCTGGAGGATAGCGAATGTAATACTGATTTTCAAGAAGGAAGATAGATCACTATCCTCTAACGACCGTCCAATCAGTCTAACATCAATTGTAGGCAAATTACTGGAAGCAATCATTTCAAACTCTATTCAAAATCACCTGGAGACGCAAAAGTTGATCAATGATTCCCAGCATGGCTTCACAAGCGGGCGTTCATGTCTAACTAATCTATTAACATTCTTTTCATCAGTTTTCGACTCGGTGGACGAGGGGCACAATTACGATGTGGTATATCTCGACTTTAGCAAAGCCTTCGACAGAGTCCCCCACAAAAGACTAAGAAGAAAGGTGGAGGCTCATGGCATTAAAGGTGATATTTTAAAATGGATTAGGGCGTGGTTACAGGACAGTAAACAGCGAGTGAGCATTAACGGCACTACATCCCATTGGAGTAACGTCACTAGTGGTGTTCCCAAAGGCTCAGTACTTGGACCATTATTATTTATTATATACAAAAACAACATGAATATCGGCTTTCACAGCAACATAAGTAAATTTGCTGATGACACAATTGGGCCTGTAATTAAATCTGACAATGGATGGTGTTATATGTAGTGATGATGGGTGGTGTTATATGTAGTGATGATGGGTGGTGTTATATATAGTGATGGGTGGTGTTATATGTACAGTAGTGATGATGGATGGTGTTATATGTAGTGATGATGGCTGGTGTTATATGTAGTGATGATGGATGGTGTTATATGTAGTGATGATGAATGATGTTATATGTAGTGATGATGGATGGTATTATATGTAGTGATGATGGATGGTGTTATTTGTAGTGATGATGGATAGTGTTATGTGTAGTGATGATGGATGGTGTTACAAGTAGTGATGATGGATGCTGTTATATGTAGTGATGATGGATGCTGTTATATGTAGTGATGATGGATGGTGTCATATGTAGTGATGATGGATGGTGTTCTATGTAGTGATGGTGGATGGTGTTATATGTAATGATGATGGATGGTGTTATATGTAGTGATGGCATGTACTGTAGGTGAGGTTATGGTGAATCTGCTTAAATGTCACTTCTTAACTCAGGTCATCAGGAAAGAGACCGTCAAGGTCCTCTCTGTGTGATGTGACAGTCATGGTCATGGGTCAGCCTGTCTTTGGGACCAAATATACTGTTATACACGATAGATGTTGTTTACAGTGCGCGCATGATGAAGATTCACACTAACATTTCCCACGTTTTGTTGAGAGTAAGGAAATTTGTTGTTTAGTTTTATAAGTTTGGCAACGAGACCCATTTTGTGTGTGTGTGTGTGTGTGTGGGCGAGCGAACACAGATATTCTGTGTATTGTAATCTATTTCAGCAGGTTACTCTTCACGGATGATCGTGAAGTTTACTTCCGAGATTATTATAAGGTATTGGCTGGTAGAGTTAAGACCGAGATAAAAAAAACAAAGAAGAATAATGAACTGAGGATAGCAAGGGAGGCGAAGTCAAACCCCAAGGGATTCTATCATTTGTATCAAACTAAAACACGAGAAAAGATTCGACCAATACAGTCAGATACCGGCAAGCTAACTGATAACGACGGAGAAATGAGCAATAATCTGAATAAATATTTTTCAACAGTTTTCACCACCGAAAATTTAAACATGATACCCGAGGAACCGACTCTATACAGAGACAGTGAGGAAAACAAATTAAGCGAGATAATAGTGACTAGCAACGATGTTAGTAAGCAAATAGACAAACTAAAGCCTAATAAGTCACCTGATCCCGATGAGATATTTGCCAGAGTATTAAAGGAATGTAAGGAAGAGCTTGGTATGCCCTTAGCAAAGTTGTTTAACATGTCCTTAAAAACAGGTGTAGTACCAGAATCCTGGAGGATAGCGAATGTAATACCGATTTTCAAGAAGGGAGATACATCACTCTCCTCTAACTACCGTCCAATCAGTCTAACATCAATTGTAGGCAAATTACTGGAAGCAATCATTTCAAACTATTCGAAATCAACTGGAGAAGCACAAGATGCTCAATGATTCCCAGCACGGCTTCACAAGCGGGCGTTCATGTCTAACTTAATCTATTAACATTCTTTTCATCAGTTTTCGAATCGGTGGACGAGGGGCACAATTACGATGTGGTATATCTCGACTTTAGCAAAGCCTTCGACAGAGTCCCCCACGAAAGACTAATTAGAAAGGTAGAAGCTCATGGCATCAAAGGTGACATCCTTAAATGGATTAGGGCGTGGTTACAGGACAGGAAACAGCTAGTGAGCATTAATGGCACTATGTCCCATTGGAGCAACGTCACAAGTGGAGTTCCCCAAGGCTCAGTACTTGGACCATTATTATTTATTATATACATAAACGACATAGATATCGGCATAGATAGCAACATAAGTAAATTTGCTGATGACACGAAATTGGGCCTGTAATTAAATATGACGATGAATGGTGTTATATGTAGTGATGATGGGTGGTGTTATATGTAGTGATGATGGATGGAATTATATGTAGTGATGATGGATGGAATTATATGTAGTGATGACGGATGGAATTATATGTAGTGATGACGGATGGTGTTGTATGTAGTGATGATGGATGGTGTTATATGTAGAGATGATGGATGGTATTATATGTAGTAATGATGGATGGTGTTATATGTAGTGATGATGGATGGTGTTATATGTAGTGATGATGAATGGTGTTATATGTAATGATGATAAATGGTGTTATATGTAGTGATGATGAGTGGTGTTATATGTAGTGATGACTAGACAATAAAATAATAACAGTTTAATGCGAAAAAAATATACAGTACTTTGCTGTACCGTTGTAGTGAAAAACATGGTGGAACTTACATACACCGTTAATGAACTATTGATGGAAGAAGAAGTTTTGGGACTGAACAGTGAGAGAAAGAGAGAGATAAGAAACTTCCCATTTCTCCTCCTCTCTCCCCCCCTCCCTCCCTCCCTCCCTCCACACGTGTACTATATAAAGTTTTTAAGAATGAAATATTTAGAGGTGTGGAGGCGAGTATATGAGGGTCACTTTTCCACCCACCTCAGTGTTCACGGGTCCCAATAGTTCTCAGCCTAACTTAATGCATAGGACAGGCAATCAGTGGAAACTATTTGGTCTGGGTTCTGTTAGGTCTGGGGGGCCTGTTAGGTCTGGGGGGGCCTATTAGGTCTAGGGGCCTATTAGGTCTGGTGACAATTAGGTCTGGAGCCTATTATAACTGGCTCCCATTTGACCAGTCACCTCGACGAGGGTCCCTTACCAGGTAGTCTTAAAGGATTTGTCAATTAAGTACAGTATGTTGTGAAGAGCCCTAGTGTTTATTAATGTTAGTTTTATTTATAAACATTTCCCCAGGCGTGATCTCTCTCTCTCTCTCTCTCTCTCTCTCTCTCTCTCTCTCTCTCTCTCTCTCTCTCTCTCTCTCTCTAAGGAACCCAACATAGACCATTAAATACACTAACACCTTTATCAAACGAGCAGACAGGCAGGACCATTCAACAGACAGACAGACAGAAACACCCAACAAACAGACAGACAGAGGGTAACGTTCAAGACATACTCGGCAGACCTCTACTCCCGCCCTTTGGACCCAACAAGCATAAAATGACAGTGAGAGGGAGAGACTGTGATCACCTGAGACTTAAATATGGTGACGCTAACGACCCTCTAACTTGTCCATGGCACTCTCCCTGGCACTGCCCTATACTCTTCCTCCTTGGCACTGTCCTATACTATCCTTCCCTGGCACTGTCCTATACTCTAGATCCCTGGCTGGCACTGTCCTATACTATCCTTCCCTGGCACTGTCCTATACTATCCTTCCCTGGCACTGTCCTACACTATCCTTCCCGGGCACTGTCCTATACTCTTCCTCCCTGGCACTGTTCTATTCTCTCCCTCCCTGGCACTGCCCTATACTAACCTTCCCGGCACTGTCCCCTATACTCTTCCTCCCTGGCACTGTTCTCTCTCTCCTCCTTGGCACTGTCCTATACTATCCATCCCTGGTACTGTCCCATACCATCCTTCCCTGGCACTGTCCTATACTATCCTTCCCGGCACTGTCCCATACTCTTCCCTCCCTGGCACTGTCCTATACTCTTCCTCCCTGGCACTGTTCTATTCTCTCCCTCCCTGGCACTGTCCTATACTCTAGATCCCTGGCTGGCACTGTCCTATACTATTCCCTGGCACTGTCCCATACTATCCCTCCCTGCACTGCCCTATACTCTAGTTCCCCTCTGGCACTGCCCTACTCTCTCACCCTCCTGGCACTGTCCTACACTCTCCCTCCCTGGCACTGTCCTACACCCTCCCTCCTGGCACTGTCCTACACCCCTCCTCCTGGCACTGTCCCATACCTCCCTGGCACTGTCCTAAACTATCCCTTCCTGGCACTGCCCTCCACTCTAGCTCCTTCCCTGGCAAATTTCCATCCCCTGGTACCCTCCTGGCACTGTCCCTATCACTCGCACTCTGGTATTGTTCTTTCCTCTCACACCCTGACACTGTCCCTTCATCTTGCAGGTTGGCACTGTCCCTCATCTCGCACCCTAGCACTGTCCCTTCATCTTGCAGGTTGGCACTGTCCCTCATCTGCACCCTGTCACTGTCCCTACCTCTCGCACCCTGGCACTGTCCCTACCTCTCGCACCTTGGCACTGTCCCTCCATCTCGCAACCTGGCACTTGTCCTCCATTTCGCACCTTGGCACTGTCCTTACCTCTCGCATCCTGGCGCTACCCCTCCCTCTCGCGCACTGACACTGTCCCTCTCTCTCGCACCCTGGCACTGTCCCCACCTCTCGCACACTGACACTGTCTTCACTGAAACCTCAACACCATTAGGTAACACTATAATAACACGCACTTACTTTCCCTCACTTTCCTGGGATTCTAGACACTTTGACACCTCTTGACGATTCCCGACACTTTCTTCACCACTTCCTGACACTTTCTTCATACTTCCTGGCACTTCGAGACACTTTCAGATACTCACATGACACTTTGAGACACTTCCTGATACTTTCTTACTTTTATGGCGGTTCTTGACGATTCTTGACACTTCCTGATACTTTCTTGGCACGTTACCTCCCCAGATGACAATACGTCAAGGTCCATCCTCTCATCCTGTACAGCTTATGGGCCATCTGAGCAAGGCACACACACACACACACACACACACACACGGACCCAACTCAAAAGAAACAGTTCAGCAACTCAAACAGTCCTACGTGGAAGGTCTTAATTCCTAGCCAACTCTCTCCAAGATGACTTATTCTGACTCTCTCCTCCTCCAACAAAACCAAAAACTTCTACTTCTTTTCCTCTAAACTTTCCCTCATAAAGACTCTCTACGAAACACTGAATCAAAGTAAAGTACTTGTGTTCGTTTATCTACTGTCCGTGATTTCAAGTACAGTAGGTATTCTACAAGTGGTATCTCTTCCGTAAGTTCCACTATATGATTAGCGTTCAGAGATTCACTGATTCGAAGGTTCACGGATCCGAAACTTCATTGGGTCCAAGGGTTCACTGCTTTAAGATTCACGGGTTCAAAAGTCCATCTTCGAAGGTTTACTGATACTCATTATTGTATTCTACTTTCATAACTCACAACACCCTCTTCACCATGGCCAGGTTAGGTTATGAACGAACATAACCTAACCTAACCCTCCTCACCAGGTCAATATACTGTACACCATCATCTTCGTTAATTAAAAAAAAAAATCCTCATAATTATAGTTCGTCTCTTGATTAATTCCGTCGGTAAATAACAACAATGACTCATGGTTTAGTAATATCAATAAACAAAAACAACAGTACAGGTTATTGATTTGTTAAGCATAATGGCGATTTGTATGTTTCAGTAAATGTTGTGAATGTGAAGATGAAAATAATGAGAGATTTTGTAGTCTGTTGTGAATGATGGAAAATGAAACTAGTTGGAAAGTTTGTTGTTGTGGTTGTTTTTGTTGTATGAATGAAATGTTGTAATGTGAAAATAAATATAAGGCAGACTCACAACTTCACATCATCAAGGTGGTCAAGAAGGATCAATTCAACTAACACAGGAGGTTCAATTTTCCATCATATGCAGGGATGGTCATCTTCTTGGAGGGTCACACAGGTAAAGGCGAGGTGGGGGGATCAGGTGTGAGGGGGATCAGGTGGGGCGGGGGGGGTGGGGATCAGGTGGGTATGGGGGATGAGGTGGGTGGGGGTGATGAGGTGGGGGGTGATCAGGTGGGTAGGGGTGATCAGGTGGGTGGGGGGTGAGGGTGGCAGGGTCAGGGTGGGTATGGGGGTGATAGTGGGGTGGGGGGTGACTAGGTGGGTAGGGGGGTGATCAGGTGGGTATGGGGGGGTGATCAGGTGGGGGGGGGTGATGGGGGGTGATCAGGTGGGTATGGGGGTGATCAGGTGGGTATGGAAGGTGATCAGGTGGGTAGGGGTGATGGTGGGTAGGGGGTGATCAGGGGTGGTGGAGGTGGGGGGGGATGGGGGGGTGGTGTAGGGGGTGGGGTATCAGGTGGGTAAAGGTAGGTGTAGGGGGGGATTGGGTAGGGGGTGATCAGGTGGGTAATGTTGGACCAGGTGGGGACCAGGTCCTCCCCTCAGTGGTGGTGGTTGTTGGACCATCTCTGTTAATGCCTCCCTCCCCTGTTCCTCTCCCCATTTCTCCCCCTCATTCCTCCTTCCCCCTACTCACTTACCCTTTCCTCTCCATTCCTTTACCCTTCCCTCCCCTCTCATCTTCCTTTTCCTCCCCGTATACTCACATCTCCTCTCCCTCCCCTTTCATCTCATTCCTCCCCTCCTTACCTTTCCCTTTCATTTCCCTCCCTCCCCTTCCCTTACCTCCCCTACCGTTCCCCTCCCCTCTCCTGTCTGACATCTAAAGGAAACTCCGCTATCTTCTGGTTAATGGTGGTGGTGACCGTCTCTTTTATCTTCGTTATCGGTTTTTCGCCCCCTTCTCCCACCTGCCCTCACCCCCCATACCCAATACTTGCGCTATCTTTCTCCAGTGAGTGGGAAGTACATCTATATTATCGGCCTTCCTCCCCGCCCCCCCGAACCCGTGCTGATATTAGAGGTGCACTATCTTCCTGTGGTCAGTGGTGTTGGGTCTCCTCTTTTGTCTTCGTTATCGGCCTTCTCTTACCCGATAACTGATAACTGGAGGAAAATGCGCTATCATCCAATCTGGTTGGTGGTACTGGACATCTGACGGTCTTCGGGTTGGATAAGTATCGTATCATGTTGTTATCTGTTAAAAAGGTTGAATCATCTTCACAAGAGGAATACATTACTGCTCTTGGCCAGTGTACATATACAATAGAAAGAGACAATTTAAGTTACACAGCTACAGTATATCTCCTCAAACTGATGGGACCTACCAAGGCCATATGGGATAACGAACGGGGCCGTATACCACTGAACAGCTTCACATGACGCCGTATACCACTGAACTACTTCACATAACTCACCGGATTTGGGAGTCTCATATACTCGTACGATAAAAATTTCCCCCATTTAGACAAAAGACCTGAATACGGGTCAAGTCTCAGGTGTAATTTCGAAGCCATTTTTTATAACATATCTTTCTGTTATAGTCTAATTTAGCCATTAAGGGACGATTTAATGTCTACAGTTTCTAAGGACATTTATGGTGCGAGACTTTGGTATAATCCAACACTAGCCAGGCCACCATGACACCCGTGGACGCCTCGCTGCTACACCTCACTTTATCACCTCCATCACTGAGGCAAAATCCATAAACTTCTCAATGAAGTGAGGGAAGCCACGGGAGAACGAACCTTCCCCCTCTCTACACCTCCCCCATTAATGAAAACGAACCTTTATAACACGAACGAACCTTTAGGGGTTATGATTCTCCCCTACCTCACCCCCTTCACCACACCCAACCCATTGCCTACCATGGTGAGATGTATCAACATATATTTGAAGTAAGACTAAGATTAGTACTGCATATAAGTACCTCTGGTACTATGACCCTCAAGCGGATGTGAACAACACAAAATGCAAAGTGTGCGGTCAGACATGTTTACGCACTCCAACTCTACCTCCAAGGGACAGATCTAAGTATACCGTGCACAGTGACACAGCACTTCATCTCTGATGGTAAGATAGCCGATATATTAAGGCTGTATCCTCATTTTGCACCTGCTAGCAAATTAAACTCCAGCGTACTAAACTAAACGAACGATGTCTTGGAAATATTCCGTAACTTTCAACGCCACAATATCCTGATCATTTGAGTCTGTTCAGCACCCTTCAGTTGTGACTACTCTAACCCTGTATGTTCTACCGTTCACAGGGTAAGTATAAGAGAGCTCAGGCTCTCAGTTGGCTCAGCCATGTCAATATTGTTATTATTATCCACTCTGTATCTGTATTTTTCTGGCTAAATAAACTGTTTCAATGTCAATATCCGGATTGAGTGTACAATAAACTAGCTGCTGTCCGCAATAAATTTAAAAAATCAACTCCACCCTATCTCTCTCATCCCACCCCATCCCTCTCATCCCACCCCATCCCTTTCCCCCACTCCATCCCTCTCCCCAACTCTATTCATCTTACCCTTCCCTATTCATCTTACTCCACTCCATCCCTCTCCCCCACCCCTCTCTTTTGTTGTAGTTTTTAATATCCTCGACGAGAAGACAACAAAAGATCTTAATCATCAAAAGCACACACAAAAATATTGACAAAATAGAAGCGAACTGTCAGTCACTGTTGTGGTGCGTCCTGGGGGAGGGGCACCGGCTGAAGACTGGACAGTACTCAGTCTTAAGTCTTGCTCCTTAACACCTGCAAACTGTACAGGTAACCAACACAATGATTTAAATGGCATGCAACTCTATGGATTGTTTATCTTTACACTCCGTCAGCTTGGTGTACAGAAGAGAGTTTCATCAAAGAATTAATTCAAAGGAAACCTCTACGAAAAAACAACGATTTCCAATTATATTACAAAGGAGTATCACACGCGCTTCTTGTTTGAAGAAAACGAAAAAGAAAAGGAAAAGGGAGAAGGTATTGGAATCTCTTAATTAAATCGATATATCTATTTGTCTCACAAATGAAATAAAATGCATCAGTAAAAAAATAATAATAATTTGGTAAAAAAAAAGACACGGACACACAAAAGAGTTTCATTCTCCAACAATCTTCAACGAAAAAAAAAAAGTTTAATTTGCACTTCATTTTCAATCCGAGATCCCCATCTTGTTCGGGTGGACCATAGAAAAGATATAGACGCTTATATCACAGAATTTTATGGCGGTGATCGAGGGAAAGAGAGTGAGTTAGTACCAGGACCCCCACCCTCTGGATGAAGCCCCCTCCCCCGTCCCCCCACCAGTAGTACTAGTTCTTCGGCAGGAGATTATGGGGCGGCATTAAAGGATGTCTTACAGCCGATATTACGAGAGTCATAATGCACGCAGGCACACACTTTAGGGGCGGCTCACACGACTGATATAATGAGAGTCCTTCAATAGATATCCTTAGGAATTTCAAAAACTGATATTGAGAGGTCTTAAAGAACACTCACAGCTGATATTATTA